TGAATTAAAATTGCTGCATCATGTTTACCGCAATATGTTGCTGACTGTTCTATTTATACAAATTGATCGATACAAAAAACATTTCATACACACTAACTAGATCCAGAAATCTTCTTCGTCTATGAGTCCCTGGAACAGTTTCCCGCCACAGTCAGACTGGCCGGGCTGGAAACGATCGTACGGAATGACGCTCAGCAGCGGAGCGCAGCACAGCCAACAGAAATGGCTGTTGCAATAAGTGCAGTGTTCCAGCCCGAGTGAGTTGTTGCTCCACACTCGGGTTATGTGTGAACCTGAGTGAGTTTTTGCTGGATTGATCTCCACACTCAGGTATTTGTGCACCTGAGTCAGTGGTTACTAGGAGATCTCCACACTCAGGTGTTTACAGTATCTAACAGGATCCCAAAGGAGGGCAGCTGTTTGTATGGAACTCAACACTGCATTAATTGTTTGTTTTGAAGAGTGGATGTCAAATTGTATTGTACCAACTAGCAGGTAACAAACTTGACAGTGAAAAAATGTTTATTTTACTGACCTGTAAGTGGGAACATCCACTCTTCACGGTGGATTCACACTGCCTGGACAGAACCATACAAATTCATACAGTAAACCCTGGCACGGATATAGGCAAAATATTTGTGCAGTGTGAATCCACTTGTGAGTGACGACATTGTGGGGCAGTCATCTCTGTGTGTGTATGAATTGAGATTGTCCCATGATGGGCCTTCAACCTCCTCGTGGTGTCACTTGGGAGGAAGTTGCACGCAGTTTTTTTGTTTGCAACTCCCTACGAATAGAAGGCGAAACAAGAACATGTGTGATGTATGTTATTTCTCACTGTACCTAATTACCTTGCAACCTTTCCGAGAAGTCTGTGGAGAAACACATTACACTGCTGCACATGTAACCTCCATAAATGTGTTCAATATCAACCTGGTGGTCTTGCATGTTTTCCCTTTGTTAGTTCCTTCTCTGTTGGATGCCGTTGGACACTGCATTGTACATGCATGTTGTGAAGAGTAATTATTGTTTGTATGTATGGACGGAGCTAAGAAGTACAGCCCTTCACTAACCACTCTGCTGATGCTAAAGGCCACTAGTAAGGTGAGTCTACATCCAGTGTTTCACCTACAAGTTCTTGCAAGAGGTTGGTCAATGTCTTTGTGCATGTCATGTGATATATACACATGGTGCCTGTATACAGTATCTTCTTTCTGGACCTGCCAACCTACAATGTGCTTCAGCAATGCTTTGTTTCTGCCATATGGAAGACAGGATGCCGACTCAGCAGAAATTTAGGTCACGTTATGCGTCCAAACTCCTCTGGTTTTCTGCATTATTGGAGGTTGCCAACAATTGCCTAACTCTCTACCTCATATGTACAGTATTATACTATGTGTGGGCAGGGTGTGGCATACACTACAGTATACGAAGTGCATGTACGGAACCCGTGCCTTTACGAGGTGTGTCCCCTATTCCAGAGTATGCAACCCTCTTATCTCACAAGTGTGCACCCTGACCCTCCTCATTTACTAGTGTAATATTACAAGTGTGGGGCCGGCTGACGAGTCCTCCCACTATAAATATAAGGGACGAAAACCATATCTGGGGATTCCCCCAGGATGGTTCCCGGCTTTCCCCCCTTCTACACAGATAATTCTATTGTGCTGCAGTTCCTTCGTCATATGGGGGTGAGTCTCACTTATCTCTCTCACTTGTCCTTCCCCACATGCATGCTTCACTGGCATTGTAAAGCAGAGGGATCCTTGTCGTGTGAGCCGTTTAGTGTACTATACATGTTGTGCATGCATGCATTTGTATCCAACTGTAAAAATGGTAACACTTACACCATTGGAATCCTCCCAACTTTATGTTCTGCCTTCACTAAGCCTGAAACCTTATCAGTCAAAGTTAGCTGTATCCCGTAAGCAGTGTACACTACCACTCCTTGGGCTCAGGTGAACAGAAATATAATATTACAAGTAAATTAAAATTCCTGCGAATTTCAAAAAGAGGCATATAGGGATGGTATAAAAAGAAAGGGAGACAAGATAAGGATTGGATACATGAAGCATGGTTAATGAACAGATTTGAGTACGCTGACATCCCCAACCCCATCACACAATCCCTATATTGTTGCCTGGTGTGCTACTCTTATAGGGGCTAAAGGTTACTAAAAGCTTTCACCGTGTCACTGTTGTTTTAGTAACATTTATACTGCCACATTCCCTTTTAAACTCCACTTGGACTCTATAAGTGTGTTGGTTACTCAGTAGTGTATTGTAAGTTCTGAGTATTGTAATGGTGAATGTTTAATACTTCACCTAGGCAACAATATAGGGATTGTGTGATGGGGTTGGGGGTGTCAGCGTACTTAAATCTGTTCATTAGCCATGCTTCATGTATCCAATCCCTATCTTGTCTCCCTTTCTTTTTATACCATCCCTATATGCCTCTTCTTTAAATTCGCAGGATTTTTAATTTACTTGTCTCCACTCATTTTTATATACTACTACGTATTATCTCTGTGGAAGGGGGCAAGCCCCTATAAAAATTAATAATAGAGAATAAAGGCCTGTTGTCATCATGGAAATGATATGCATACCATGTTTCATCTCCATGTGCGCTGCAGTTAGCAAGTTTGAGGAGTGAAGAAGTAATTTTAAAGAAAAGTGCCCGAGGCTATTTGTTGTTCTGGTCGTCATAGAAACGATGTAATACACATGCGCACCAAGTTTCACATCCATGCATGCTACAGTTAGTGAGTTTGAGGAGTGAAAGGTGCCTGAGGCTATTTGTTGTTGTGGTCGTCATAGAAACGATGTATTACACATGCGCAACAAGTTTGACCTCCATGCGTGCTATAGTTAGCGAGTTTGAGGAGTGAAGAAGTAATTTTAAAGAAAAGTGCCTGAGGCTATTTGTTGTTGTAGTTGTCATGGAAACGATGTAATACACATGTGCACCAAGTTTCACCTCGCATGCGTGCTACAGTTAGCGAGTTTGAGGAGTGAAGAAGTAATTTTAAAGAAAATTGCCTGAGGCCTTTTCGAACAGTATGCGGTCGTCATGGAAACATGTAGTCGTCATGGAAATGATATAATTGGCATACGTACCAAGTTTCATCTCTATGCGTGCTACCATTGGATAGTTTGAGAAGTGAAGAAGTTAATTTAAAGAAAAGTGCCTGAGGCTATTTGTTGTTATTTACAAACATGTATTGTTGTGATTTTGATGTTGGCTATTGAATACATTGTGTATACAAACTTTTGCTCACATAGCTCTTACCTATTGTGAGTTACACTGACACATGTAGTATGCCCATTATAATGTATTGCCTGGGGCAATTTTGTTGTTGTTTACAGTAAACAACATTGTTTACAAACAAAAAAGTATGATGATTCCCATGTGGTTATGGATATGTACATTCCTACAAAATTTCATGGCTTTATCTCTTTCGGTTTTTGAGTTACGCTGGTTGAATAGGAAGAAGAAGAAGAAGAAGAAGAAGAACAAAACTCCATATCATAGCCCCATACATCTATGATGCTAGGGACCATGTCAATCCCTATATACTAAGTACTACTGTACTTAGTGATATTATGTCAGGATAAGACAGACATTACATACACATTGTATTGTATGTGCCAGTGTCCACATTATCTATATCGCTACATTCTATGTACTTCTGTGGTGCATACTTGGAGGCCAGCCCTTGACAAACTGGTCTGCTGACTGTGGCCACTGGTGAGTCTCCACTAACCTCCAAGTTTTTCAATAGTTGTTCCTGCTCCTGCTACTTAATTACACATCTCAGATATGGCAATCAGCAAATCTCCTCCCCTGGGGGGATTGGGACCACCCTTTTATTATGTGCATGCACAGTTTGGTTCAAATCTCGATCTATGTATTCCGTCACCACAGCTTTAAAATCCCATACTCTAGCCCTAGGCCATATCCCCTGCCTCCTACTCGACATGTATGCACTAGTAACCAAGAAATTGACTTCTAGAATAGGAATGTGATCTGCACTAAATCATGTTGGGAATAGCAACAATGACAGAACACCAACTGAACGAGTACACACAATGTCATGTTACCAGTTTATATGCAGGTCAGAATGTTCTATATAGAATGGGAATGTTCTAGAATGCTAAGTCTGACCACTACAAGTCCAGTATGTAAATTTGTTGGGTACATGAGATACAGCACCATTTTGGCTCCTAGCCTGACCCTATAATGGAGAGCGAAAAACCACAGTTTACTCAGTTATCTGTTGACTGGTGCATTTGTACTATACATCAGTCACCTGGCTGACTCTCACTGGCAGAAACATGTATAAGCCGGAAGGCTTACTTTTTCCCCACAAAAGGGTCAGATCACTAAGTACGGTAGTACTTAGTATATAGGGATTGACATGGTACCTAGCATCATAGATGTATGGGGCTATGATAGGCAGTTTTGTTCATCATCATCTTCTTCTTCTTCCTATTCAACCAGAATAACTCAAAAACCGAAAGGGATAAAGCCATGAAATTTTTAGGAATGTACATATCGATAACCACGTCATACTTTTTTGGTTTGTAAACAATGTTGTTTACTGTAAACAACAACAAAATTGCCCCAGGCAATACATTATAATGGGCAATACGTTACAATGGGCATACTACATGTGTCAGTGTAACTCACAATTGGTAAGAGTTATGTGAGCGAAAGTTTGTATACACAATGTATTCAATAGCCAACATCAAAATCACAACAATACATGTTTGTAAATAACAACAAATAGCCTCAGGCACTTTTCTTTAAATAACTTCTTCACTTCTCAAACTTTCCAATGGTAGCACGCATAGAGATGAAACTTGGTACGTATGCCTATTATATCATTTCCATGACGATTACATGTTTCCATGACGACCGCATATTGTTCGAAAAGGCCTCAGGCAATTACTTCTTCACTCCTCAAACTTGCTAATTGTAGCACGCATGGAGGTGAAACTTGGTGCGCATGTGTATTACATCGTTTCCATGACAACTACAACAACAAATAGCCTCAGGCACTTTTCTTTAAAATTACTTCTTCACTCCTCAAACTCGCTAACTATAGCACGCATGGAGGTGAAACTTGGTGCGCATGTGTAATACATCGTTTCCATGACGACCACAACAACAAATAGCCTCAGGCACTTTTCTTTAAAATTACTTTTCACTCCTCAAACTCGCTAACTGTAGCACGCATGGAGGTGAAACTTGGTGCGCATGTGTATTACATCGTTTCCATGACGACCACAACAACAAATAGCCTCAGGGCACTTTTCTTTAAAATTACTTCTTCACTCCTCAAACTTGCTAACTGCAGCACACATGGAGATGAAACATGGTATGCATATCATTTCCGTGACGACAACAGGCATTTATAGGGGCTTGCCCCCTTCCACAGAGATAATACGTAGTAGTATATAAAAATGAGTGGAGACAAGTAAATATAAAATCCTGCAGATTAAAAAAAGAGTGCATATAGGGATCGTATAAAAAGAAAGGGAGACAAGATAGGGGTTGTGTTTGTGGAAACACAGAGATGCTAGCGAGGAGTTAGGACTCTCACAGGTTTTATTCTCTATTATTAATTTTTATAGGGGCTTGCCCCCTTCCACAGAGATAATACGTAGTAGTATATAAAAATGAGTGGAGACAAGTAAATTAAAAATCCTGCGAATTTAAAGAAGAGGCATATAGGGATGGTATAAAAAGAAAGGGAGACAAGATAGGGATTGGATACATGAAGCATGGTTAATGAACAGATTTAAGTACGCTGACACCCCCAACCCCATCACACAATCCCTATATTGTTGCCTAGGTGAAGTATTAAACATTCACCATTACAATACTCAGAACTCAGGCACTTTTTTTAAAATTACTTCTTCACTCCTCAAACTCGCCAACGGTACCACGCATGGAGATGTAACTTGGCGCGCATGTGTATTACATCGTTACATGACGACCACAACAACAAATAGCCTCAGGCACTTTTCTTTATAATTACTTCTTCACTCCTCAAACTTGCGAACGGCAGCACACATGGATGGTATGCATTTCATTTCCATGCCGATAACAGGCATTATTAATTTTATAGGGGCTTGCCCTCTTCCACAGAGATAATACGTAGTAGTATGTAAAAAAAATGAGTGGAGACAAATAAATAAAAACCTGCGGATTAAAAAAAGAGTGCATATAGGGATGGTATAAAAAGAAAGGGAGACAAGATAGGGATGGTATTTGTGGAAGCACAGAGATGCTAGCGAGGAGTTAAGGACTCCCACAGGTCATTACAACAGTTGCATACTCTGGAATAGGGGACACACCTCGTAAAGGCACGGGGTCCGTACATGCACTTCGTATACTGTAGTGTATGCCACACCCTGCCCACACATAGTATGATACTGTACATATGAGGTAGAGAGTTAGGCAATTGTTGGCAACCTCCAATAATGCAGAAAACCAGAGGAGTTTGGACGCATAACGTGACCTAAATTTCTGCTGAGTCGGCATCCTGTCTTCCATATGGCAGAAACAAAGCATTGCTGAAGCACACTGTAGGTTGGCAGGTCCAGAAAGAAGATACTGTATACAGGCACCACGTGTATATATCACATGACATGCACAAAGACATTGACCAACCTCTTGCAAGAACTTGTAGGTGAAACACTGGATGTAGACTCACCTTACTAGTGGCCTTTAGCATCAGCAGAGTGGTTAGTGAAGGGCTGTACTTCTTAGCTCCGTCCATACATACAAACAATAATTACTCTTCACAACATGCATGTACAATGCAGTGTCCAACGGCATCCAACAGAGAAGGAACTAACAAAGGGAAAACATGCAAGACCACCAGGTTGATATTGAAAACATTTATGGAGGTTACATGTGCAGCAGTGTAATGTGTTTCTCCACAGACTTCTCGGAAAGGTTGCAAGGTAATTAGGTACAGTGAGAAATACATCACACACATTCTTGTTTTACCTTCTATTCGCAGGAAGTTGCAAACAAAAAAAACTGCATGCAACTTCCTCCCAAGTGACACCACGAGGAGGTTGAAGGCCCATCATGGGACAGTCTCAATTCATACATACACAGAGATGACTGCCCCACAATGTCGTCACTCACGAATGGATTCACACCGCACAAATATTTTGCCTATATAGAAAGGTATCCGTGCCAGGGTATACTGAATGAGTTTGTATGGTTATGTCCAGGCAGTGTGAATCCACCGTGAAGAGTGGATGTTATTAGGTACCCACATACAGGTCAGTGACAGTTCTGCACATAAAAATGTGCACAAGGGCTTTAGTAAAATACACACTGGCAGAGGGCATATTTTCACTGTCAACTTTGTTACCTGCTAGCTGGTACAACACACATTATGCATTTCACATCCACTCTTCAAAACATACAATTAATGCAGTGTCAAGTTCCATACAAACAGCTGCCCTCCTTTTACAACCCGAGTGTGGAGATCTCTCATAGTAACAACTGACTCAGGTGCAAACATACCTGAGCGTGGAGATCGATCCTAGCAACAGCTCACTCGGGTTCACACATAACCCGAGCGTGGAGAAACTCCTAGCAACAACTCACTCTGGCTTGTACATGCAACAGCACAATACACATTTTACACATCACATTCATGGGGAGCGAGCACAGTGGCATGACCTTTGAACTGTTTTCAAAATTGTAATATATTTAAACAACTCAGTCAAAGTTTCTCACTGCATTCGCTCACCATTCATATTGGAAAATCACATGGAAAATGCACACAATCAACCCGAGCGTGGAGATCTACAGCTCGCTCAGGTGCAAACATACCTGAGCGTGGAGATCGATCCTAGCAACAACTCACTCAGGTTCACACATAACCCGAGTGTGGAGAAACTCCTAGCAACAATTCATTCGGGCTGGAACACTCAAAAGCACAATACACATTTTACACATCACAATTTATGGGGAGCGAGCACAGGGGCATGAACTGTTACATAAGGAAACCATCTTTTATTCTAAACAACTCAGTCAGGCATGCTCACTGCATTCGCTAACCATTCATTTTTAAATTGGAAAATCACATTGAAAAATGCACTCAATCAACCCGAGCGTGGAGATCTCCTAGCAACAGTTCGCTCAGGTTCACACATAACCTCACACATAACCCGAGTGTGGAGAAACTCCTAGCAACAACTCATTCGGGCTGGAACACTCAAAAAGCACAATACACATTTTACACATCACATTTATGGGGAGCAAGCACAGGGGCATGAACTGTTACATAAGGGAACCATCTTTTATTCTAAACAACTCAGTCAGACATGCTCACTGCATTCGCTAACCATTCATTTTTACATTGGAAAATCACATTGAAAAATGCACTCAATCAACCCGAGTGTGGAGATCTCCTAGCGACAGTTCTCTCAGGTTCACACATAACCTCACACATAACCCGAGTGTGGAGAAACTCCTAGTAACAGCTCACTCGGGCACACATATGTACCTAGTGTGGAGAAACTTTCAGCAAACAGACACCCACACTACTGTACATGCTGATTCGCCACTGATAACGGGCAGGTAGGTATCTTCACACACCTTTTGCACTCCCAGTGGACCTCGGACTCCCCAAATACCTCACTGGGAAAGTCCATGCAGTGGCGGTGATACCAGATGTGGCAGGAATCACACTTGGCCATCTGATCACCTTCCTCTTCCGGCATGCGACACGAACAGTGGAGCTCCACTGTCTTTGGCTTTCTCGGGACACTCTCTCTCTGGCCCAACACAGGAAAACGAGAAACCTGGCAATTCTCAAGACAAGTTATCAGATGTGGCCTGATCTTACTGTGATCAAACTTAACACTGCAAGGGTTCAAGCCACTGCACAGGTCAAATGCATAGGCTATGGCCAGAACCCCGCAGTCGGAACCATTGGACTGTTTCTCAACGTCCATCATCTCTGGTTAGAGCTCGGGACATGGACCATGCTCGCTATCAATCACACAGTTTCTTCGGACAGAGTCTTGTACAGACTGTCATATACGCGGACAACGCCACTCTGACAACCAACTGTGGACACAACACACCAGTGGCTGTTTCTGACGTGCATGATTTGAACAAATTCCCCAGAGTGAACCCGAAATGCGCAAAATTTCTGCAGTATTGAGGGTTGTAGGCCAGCCATGTTTGGAAAAAATTGAAGCAACATCATCTGAACTGCAGAGATGATGTTGTCATTGAGCCACCCTCTCCGAGACAAAACTACACTACAGCTTAGAGCATATGCACCATTACTTACCCACGTCATTGGTGCCTTGTTTTCTCCTTCAGATGCTGAAGAAACCGTAATCCTCTCAAGAGACTCGGTAACATGGCACGTGCAGGATTCACGCAGAGCTGAGTCGTTTATCACGCTACGCGGTGAGACCTTAGGGGCCCACTGCCACTCATCGAGTGGGATAGGAGAGAAACTAGTCAAGGGAGTGAGCTCAGTGCTAGAAAAGGAGGTGTTCAAGACACCTTTCGAGCAGTAGAGCTGGTACCGGCCAGCCATCTCCCCCACAATGCGACAGGGGACGTGAAAATCACCAACGTTTCCACTATGTATGCAGACGTAATCCCCCATTTGAATCTCGGGTTTCACATCAACTGTGGGTCTCCCACCTTCAGTCTCGGGTTTCACGTCTTCAATCTTGGGTTTTATATATTCCGCAAATTCAATGTTAGGTTTCATGTCCTCTGAAGGGGCAGGTGTGTGCCTCTCAGGGGGACTTTGGACACTGGGAGCAGCAGGTGCTCCAGAATCACTGGCAGGGAATAGAGTACGGCCAGGCTTACGGTTCCTCAAGCTCAACGGACAGCTCCTCTTGTGGGCCCTGCCTACAGCTCCACACACACATATATCAATTAGAACCTCCTCACACATGCTGGAGTCAAACAAGTCTTCTATGGACTCATTGCCAGACTCAGAGGCTGCTGGTGTGGATCTCACTGAGGGACTCACAGAGAGGGCCTCTTTTTTGGCTCGGCCCAGGTGGAAAGGGCAGTCTCTGTGGCTAGAGCGTTGATGTGTGCTCGATCCACATGCAGCACACTTCTCTTTCCCCGGGGCATTCCCCTTGCCATGACTCCTGCCGTTTCCTTTATTCTGGTTCACCCCGTCATCAGAGTCACCTGCCATTTCAACATCACTACCACCGAAATACGTATCATGCCCATGTTTCTTGGACCATTTGATGCGCTCTACTGCTTCGGCAAGCCGCTTCCTTTTCAACTGTGTCCTTCTTTTCTTCTGAGGAGTGCACTTAGCCTCTTGAAGCCTCCTCTTTCTCCTTTCATT